GAGGCGGGGGAGCTGGGCTCAGCTATTCTGTAGCATTCAACAGCAGACTTCAGTTCCCTGACGGGGGTCTAAAGAAGATGGAGCTGGGCTGTTCTTAGTGGTGATAGATGACAGAACAAGGCGCAATGGGCTCAAGTTGCAGCAAGGGAGGTTTAAGTTAGATATTAGGAAGGGCTCTCTCACTAGGAGGGTGGTGAAGCACTGGAACAGGCTACCAAGAGCAGTCGTGGGATCTCCATCCTTGGAGGCTTTTAAGGCCTGGTGCGACGCAGCCCTGGCTGGGATGGTCTGGTTGGGGATGGTCCTGCTTTGAGCAGGGGGTTGGGGTACGCCTTCCTGAGGGCCCTCGCTTGCTATAATTTGAATGGTGCTCTCTGGATTTAGCTTCTCGCAAGGATAAGGGGTGGAAGAAAGGCCACTTGTAAGCACTGACTTTGTCTGGAGATGAAGAACATAGGCTGGAGAGCTGGGCATGTCTGCTGATGAGCGCAGTGGAGAGGCAGTTGGTACTCATCATGCTGGTAGTGGCAAGCTACTTCCTTTCAGTGTGTGGGACTAGTTAGGGACCTCATCCTGTGGGCAGCACGCAGCTGTTGCCTGCTGCAGCTGACATTGGGCTTCGCCACAAAGGTGGAGTTCTGTGCTAGCGGTACTGATACTGTGTTATGGGGCTTTTCACTAAATGTTGTGATCTTGTGGAGATTCCTGCCCTCCCCCTACCCCCAAAAGGGGCATAGGCTGCTGATTTAAAAAAAGCAACCGAGGTTTCTTGGAGCTGGATACAAAATGATATAAAGCAGGGTAGATATGTACTTTATAGACTAACTTACTACATTAGATGTGTATGCATCTCTCTCTTTGAAATTGATACATTAAAGAAAACGGATGTATACTTTATGGAATAACTAAATTAGATCTCTCTCACTTGCACAAGTTGATATATTAAAGGAAACATGGGTCCTTACTTTATAAACTCAAGGTTTTTGTTTTTTGTGTTTTGGTGTTTTTAATTCCAGGTAATGGATGCAACTACATTAAGCTGGGGCACACGAATGAAAGGTTTCATCGCCTGTTTTGCTATGGGAGTTCTGTGCTCCATCCTGGTAAGACCCCTGTCAACTTTTGGCATAGGTTTGGGTTCCACATGCAACAACATGCATTGTAAACAGTTTGGTGAAGGCTGCAAAATAAGCCACCATGAGCCATCAAGCTAGCAAGCTATTAGCATGCATGAGGAATGAAATGGCAGGATCTCCCAAGAGACTTCCACTCCTCATCCCGAAGTGGCAGGCAAACTGGCATGCGCTCTGACCCCAAAAAGCAGGGGTTCTGTATAGGTGTGTTTGGATTGTTGCCTATGAGAGAGAGCCCTTTGAAATGCAGGCATGACACACAAAATAAAGATGATGGGTCCTGTTCTTCTGAATTGTTGAGAATTGGATTGTGTAAACAGGAATTATTCACTGATATGGTATGTAATTTCTGAGTTTCCAAAAGAAATGGTGGCAGTGGGCCATATCAGATAGGGCTGATAATCAAGTACAGGGTTTTAGACTGGATGAGGATTGAGATAGTACAAGCTACAGATTCATTTATATAGGCAAAGTTGTCGCTTAGCAACAAAATCCCTTTAGTCTGTCTATACAAGTCAAGTAAAATGTAACTGTTATAGCAGAGTTTGGTGCACCGCTAATAAAAGTATGAGCCCTTGATATGGTAAATACAGCTTTGTAGGTAGTTGTGCGTCCTTTTATGTCCAGGTACTAGTATTCCTATTTTTAAAAGGATAAGATATGCATAAATGGTGTATTAATGCATAAACTTGATTTCAGCTGGTTGATTTGCCACATATCTGGTAAATGCAAGATTCCTTGTTTATTAAGAAGATCGTTGGGCTCCGGTGAAATCCTTTGATCATAATAAAGATTGCAAGCAAGCGCAAATCTGTGCTTCTGTTACCTACATTTAGATTTAAGTTTCCCTACTGTTCTGCAGTACTTTTTGAAGATACTAGTGGTGGGGCAGGAGGAAAAGGTGTGTGAGATATATACATATGGTAACAAAATAGTCACTTTTTCCTTATCTATCTTTTCAGGGTACATGCCTGCTGTGGGTGCCAAGGAAAGGATTAATTCTTTTTGCAGTATTTTATACACTGGGGAATATTGCATCCATTGGAAGGTAACAAACTTCTCTAACAGCTTTCTCATACCAAGGCAGGGTAGTTTGCATAGAATGATAGGGAGTGCTCATGAGTGAGTGGCAGAAATTAATCTTGTTTTACATACACACCTCAAATTCAGAAAATGAAAACAAATAATACTGATCTTTCAAACAGGTCTAGTTTTATAAAATGGAACATTTTCTTGTACTTTGGCTTTTACTGTTGAGTCAAATAAGCTATCTATGTGTACATGCAGGCAAAAATAGGAGGAATGAGATTTCATGCTTCACAGCTTTAGCAGATTTCTGCAGGGGTCAGGAAAGAATCAATGTAACTTATACAGTTCTTGATATTGTTACGGTTGTCTGCATTTCCTTATGATCCATAAGGTATTGGTCCCTCTAGGTTGGTAGACCCATCATCTTCTATCTGTCATGAAGACTCTTGCTGTAAGTGTAGCTATGCTGCACCCAAGAAACCTCCTGGGCATTGTTGTAAATAGCTCAGTGAAGACTGAAAATGTGTTGGCACAAGCCAATTGGCTAGCAAGGTATTGGAGTGCAATGAGGAATGGATTGGCATGAGGAATAATGTTCAAAGTATAGCTTATGAAAATCAAGAGCTCTGCTTCATTTAGAGTGCTAATACTCTATGGGGCATCCCATCTTGGAAAGGATGTTGGTGAGCTAGAGGGGGTTCAGAAATGATGAATGAGCAAGCACCTAGAAAAATTCCTTTGGGGCAAGAGGCTGAAATAGATTACAATTTGCTCGCTACCTGATGCTGGAGACTGACGCGATGGAACATAAACATGTAGAATGAACAGTTTAGACAAGACAGAAGGGGCGTTTCTGTTCTCCCTGTCCATGATGCCAGAAAATGGGGACATTCAACCAGGGTGGATTTGATTTTTAAATCAAATCGATTTCAATCACTGTTCAGGAAGCCTTGATTTAATCATTGTTTTCTACAAAAAAGTGCATTCTTGTTTGATATCCTCTGTTCATTTAACTTTTTTGAAACTTTGCCCTTTTAGAGAAAGGTAAGGGCTTGACTCATTGTACACAAATTTGCGGAGAGACGAGGGCTGATGGGTAGGTTATCAGGTCTGTTATCTCTCTTCTCCATATACTGCTGTTAACAAGCATGTTATCTCTGGAGGGACAGATCCACAGTTTGAGAACTGAAACTAAGCATCACACACAGATTTCATAGACATTAAGGCTGGAAGGGACGTTGGGAGATCACTGAGTCCAGCCCCCTGCCCCAAGGGCAGGAAGTCAGCTGGGGTCAAAGGACCCCAGCAAAATAAGCGTCCAAACGCTTCTTAACAGAGTCCAGAGTAGGTGCTTGCACCACCTCTGGAGGGAGCCTATTCCATGCCTGGGGGGCTCAGACAGTAAAGAAGTTTTTCCTTGTGTCCAGCCTAAAACGGTCTTGGAGGAGTTTGGGACCATTGCTCCTTGTCATCCCCTGGGGGGCTCTGGGGAACAGCCATTTCCCCCAAATCCTGATGCACACCCCTGATGTACTTATAGGCTGCCACCAGGTCTCCCCTGACCCTGCGCTTTTCCCTACTTAATGGGATCTTCTAGACTGAGCACTGAAAACCATTCTGCCCAATGGGACTCTTTAATCTTTACTAGGGCTATCAAACAATTAACAAATTTGATCATGATTAGTTGCACAATTAAAAAATATATAGTTGCAATTAATTGCAATTTTAATTGCACAGCTAAAAACTCAAAATTATATGCAGAAAAACACAAAATTATGCAGGTACTCTGTATGGTTGGAGGGGTAGGTATGGGGTGCATGTGTGTGTGTGTGGGGGGGAATTTGTGAAGG